CATCTCGGGCCAGGGGAAGCCGTAGGCCTCCATGAGCGGCGCACAGCCGGAGCGCACGGCCTCGCACAGCGAGCGGCACGGGTAGATGGGCCGGTCGAGGCAGACGGGCGCGAAGAGCGAGCAGAGGAAGACCTGCGTGTCCGAGTGGCAGCGCTTGGCCAGCAGTGGCAGCCAGCTGCTCGCCTGCTGCTTCACCTCGGCTAGGCTCTCGTGCTCCAGCAGGTTGGGCAGCCGCATGCGCTTGTAGCCCACCGTGTGGCAGAGCGGCAAGTCGGCGGGGATGTCGAGGCACTGAGGAGGCTTGGAGTAGAAGCGGCCGTGCAGCGGCTCGGCCTGCCAGCCGTAGTAGTCGTACTCCTCGCCGCTCGCTGGAGCACCGTTCAGCGCCCCCAGCAGCAGCGCCAGCGCCAGCGCGGCAGTACGCGCGCCCCCAGCCGCTGCCCGCATGGCCACGCTCGTCCTGGGACCCCTGCAGCCGTCGCCGAGGTGGCCAGAATAGGTGGCAGCCTTCGCTCCGCTCGGCTCCGGGCGCCCCAAGTGCTCCAGGCACCTCCCACCTCGGGGCTCCTGGCCGGGCCTCGCTGCAAGCCCCAGCCAATCTCTGGTCGCCCGGTCCCCGCCCCAAGGCGGCGGGGCAGGATGGAGCCCCTCGGCCCCCTCCCGCTCCCTCGCTCCCTCCTACGGCCCCGGCCGTGCGCCCTTTCCGTTCGCTTTGCCCCTCTCCCTGGTGCGGCTTTACCTCCCTGGCGTTTTCCTTGCCCCTGGCCTTCTCCATCCTTCCCCCTTATCTCTCTGCCGCAGCCCCTCCTGTTCCTTTTCTCACTCACTTCTCTTGCTTATCTGTCCACCTCCCGCTCCGCTCTGTTTTCTCTTCCCGACACCTCGGTTGCTGTTCCTCCTGAGCACACCCGCTGGTCCAGGAAGGCAGCGCTTCCCTTTGCCGCCTTCAGGCGTGCACTGATTGAGCTCCTGGGCAGTGCAGCAGATCGGAGAGGGTTTAAGACAAGGCAGTCTTAAGGGGGTGTGTGTTGTGTGTGTGTGGATAGGTAGGTAGGTAATTGTGGCTTCTATTTATGAGCTCTTACTAAGTTCCAGGGATGGTGCGGAGCACTGCACAACCTTATCAACCTCTATTCTAACGTTAACTAGTACTTAATGAGTGCTAATTGTATGTCAAGACTGTTTTAAGCGCATTGCATGAATTACCTTATACCCATAACAATGCCACCGGCTGGCTGGATGCTATTATCATCCCCACTTTACAGATACTGAGCTGAGGTCAAGAGAGATGAAGTGAGCATGACAGCCAGCATTTGGACCCACACAGTCTGGTTCTAGAGTCAGGGCTCAGAGACAACCAGGAGGTCTGGATTCCGCTTCTGTAGGCCTAATGGCTTATACAGGGGCTCAGGGGGGTGAAGTGATTAGTCTGAAGCCATGTAGCTCATGAAGGGCCAGGGTTTGAATCCCAGATGTGGGGCTCCAAAGGCCAGGGCATAAGCACTGTGCCATATGTAAATTTTATCCCAGGTAGAAAACACTATGGGAGGAGCAAGGAATTAATAATATCAAAGAGAGGAGGTGACTTTCAAGGATCCCAAGCTTGGTGTCTTTCCTATCTGGGCCATGCCTTCTTTGGTTTTCTGTGAAAGGAACTTGGAGGAAATGCTTGGTGGTACCACAGGAGGGACTTTCTTAAGAGCCGTGTCTGACTCCTGACCTCTCAGCCTTTGGTAGGCAGGGTATTGGGAAGGAATCTCCAAGGAGGGAGGACTGTATTTACTGCCGCTCCTGGGTTGGTCCTTGTAGGGGTAGCATCTCAGCCCATCTGTCTGAACACCAATATGTGCAAAGCATATGGTGCTAGTGGGTAGGGACACAGGTGAGAAGACATGGCCCTGCTTCATCTGACCTAGAGTGGGAAGAAAACACAAGGCAGGGCAAAGGAGGCAGAAGGCTCAACAGACAGAGCCTGGGTTGGAACAAGATATCTTGATTTCCAGAATGACCAAGTTAGGTTCAGGTTCAGCAAGCCAGGGCCCTTTCCTTCCCTTTCTGCCTCTCTCAATACCTAGCATTAAGGTTTTGCAGCCAGGTGTGATAGTGCCGTCCCATCTCAAAATACCAAGAAAACAACCAACCAATCAGCCAGCCAGCCAACCAATCAAGCAACCAAGCACCCAACTAGCCAGCCAGCCAACCAGCCAACCAACCAAGCAAACAAAACCAGAGGTTCTACAGTTCTACAGATGATCAGTCAGGTGAAGGAATGCTTTCTGCAGGGCCAGGCATTATAGTGTACTAATGGGGCATTAGCCCTGACTCTATAGACAGAGTCAAGTTCAAATTGGGGCTTCTTATGATCGCTTACGAGCCGTGTCACCTTGGCTAAATTCTGAACTGTTCTGACCCTCAGTCTGCTAGTTTGTAAAATGAAACTTCCTCAGCAGTTATTGTGACGGGAAAATAAAGCAAATGAATGAATAAAAGGAAAATATGACAATGCCAGCATGTAAAGAGCACCTTGGAATGTAAGATCCCCAAGGGTGTATGACTTTGGGGTGGAAATATTGTGAGCATTCTGAAACCTCCTTCAGATACTGTGGCCCTGTCTCTGCTACGGGCTTCAGAGCAGCAATTCTGCTTCTTGTTCTCCAGCTCCTGCACCCTTTCATGGGGAGCAGACCTCTATTTTCCAGGGGGAGGTATGGCTCTGGTGGGGGCAGTGGAGCCTCCAAGCTGTTGTGCGAGGTGCCTGCTCCTTGGGCAGCTGGCCGACTGAGCTGTTCTTGGCATCTCAGTGCCTGACCTGGACAGAGCCAGGCATTGTTCCTGCTGCTACTCATGTAAAAACAATACATGGCAAGACATGTGTGAGCCTGTACCTGGCAGCCTTTGAGGGGGGGTTCCAACGGGCAGCAAGACCAGGCTGGAAGCCTCTGGGCAGAGGAGGATGGGCAGCTCTGACTGGGGACTCCCAAGACTCCCTGACGTGGACAGGGGATGAGAGTGAGCAGGGAAGCCCTTCCTAGGAACTGAGCCCGGCCAGCGCTGTGCCTTGGGAGGTTGTCAGGAGCCTCCCTTTGTGGCCAGTCTGTTACCCCGACTCTGTAGCAGCGAGGGCAGGCTGCTCTGTGATGTGGTACCCCTTCATGATGAGGCTGGCCCAAGCCCTTGGCAGCTGGTGGGACACCTGGTGTGCTGGACATCTGTCCATCCTGGAGCGTCTGCAGTCTGTCTAGGCACATGTTTCTCTAGCTGACGGAGGGTCTGTTTGTTCCAAAGAATGTGTATTTGTGGTTTGTTATGAGCAAGGTTCTATACAGATACCCACTCAGGTACTTCTTAGATCTAAGACACCACTTTGATCAAACTTGTTAATTATGTCATCAAATCCTACATTTTTCTACCTTTTTGTTGTTTATTTCAGAGGTTCTCAAAATAAGTCAGGGTCCCCCAGAGACCCTTTCAGAGGGTCTGCAAGGTTAAAACTGTACACATTTCAGAAGTTTACTCAAAGTACAAGATAGACCAATTTAAGGTAATAGAATACAAGCAATTTATTGATATGATTTCAGAGTCTACATTACAACAAACATTTAAGAAATGACCACATGAGCCGAGCTTGGTGGTGCATACCTGTAATCCCAGCACTCAGGAGGCTGAGGCAGGAGGATCGCTGTGAGTTCGAGACCAGTCTGGGCTACATAGTGAGTTCCAGAGCAGTCTCAACTACATAGTGAGACCCTGTCTCAAAAAAACAAAAACAAAACAAAAGAAATGACCACATGTCAGTTTTTTGGGGTACTGTCAAAGAAGAATACCCATAATTATCTGGAAAGGCTGTTAAAGTACTCTTCTTTTTTCTAACTACATTTTTGTGTGAGACCAAATTTTCTTCGCATACTTCACCAAACCACATGTGGCAACAAATTGAGCACAGAGGCAGATATGAGAAACCAACTGTCTTCTATTAGGATAGATGTTAAAGAGATTTGCAAAAATGTGAAAGAGTTCCACTCGCCTCACTCAATTCTTTCCCTTTGGAAAATATATTTTTTCATAAGCATTTATTAATATTAACATATAATTATTTCTTAACTGAGTTAATGCCGTTAAATTTTTTTCTGACAAAATTTTAAACATGATAATTATTAATAGATATAATCCCCATAATTTTGGGCTCTCAATATTTAAGGGCACAAAGGGGTTTGAGACCAAGCAGACCTGCTAGTCTACTTAACTTGTCTATTTTTTTTTAGTGTTCTTTATATTTTTCTTTTTCCCCCTCATTGAGTTTATTGGTACATTCTAGGTATACAGTACAGTTACATTCATCATCGGGATCCTGTACCTTTACATGACAGGTCTTGGTTCTTTTTTCCCCTTATCCCTGCCCTCCCTTCACCCCCTCCTCCCCTTCCTGTTTACAAACACTTTATTTACATTTTTTCATTTTCTCATATTTTTTTCTTTTCCCTTATTCCCTTTCCCCTACCCTTCCCGCTTTCCCTACACCTTTAACACTTTTCTTCCTATTTCACATTGTTAATTATCTCATTAGGATCTTATGTACTATTATAGTTTTTCACACCAGAGAAACTATTCGGTATTTACACGTGTGACTTATTTATTTCACTTAGGAGTATCCTCAATATGTATCCATTTTCCTATGAATGTTTCTAATTTCTCATTCTTTATGGCTGAGTAGTATTCCATTTTATAGAAAAACCACATCTTCTTTTAACTTGTCTATTTTTGAGAGAAGTATATAAAATCTACTTTGCACGTGAGTCTGTGTCAATTTTTCCATTTATTTATTTATTTTCTCCAGTACTGAACCCAGGCTGATCTTGAACTTCGAATCCTCCTACATTAACCTCCCAGAGTGTTGGGATCATAGGTGTGTACCCTCATGCCCAGATTTTTTTCCTTTTAACCAGTTCTGCTTTATATACTTTGAAGCTACAGAATGCTTCATAGTTATCATGTCTCTGGGTTGGATTTTGATCTGTATGAAATATCCTTTTAATCCATAGTCTTTGGGAATAATTCTATGAACCAACTGACACCTAACTAGGATTTGCCTCATAGTTTCCTGTGATCAGTTCGATTTCAGAGCCATAAGCCGGGTCTGCCCTGTTCGTGCCTCCTTTATAAGGGTCCCAGGAGAGTCACTGTGGGATGGAGGACTTGCACCACAAAGCTTGGAATCTTATTTCCATTTATTAGCGAGCACTTCTACACGCTGAATCCCAATTGCCTCATCTACAAAGTGGGGAAGACAACTTTACCCTATGTGCTCCATAGGGCTCTCTTGTAGATCAAAAGAGATAAGAAAAAAGGAGCTTGGGCTGATGATGGAGGTGAGGCTGACATTGTTCTTGGTCTGAGATGGGGCTGAGGGATGGGATGAAGGTCCCTCCCCTGTGACTTCTCCCATCCTCTGGCTATGAAGAGGCCCTGCCAGCACGGGCCTGCCTAAGACAGGATCTTGTCAGTATCTCAGCGTCTGCTGGAGTCATCTGCCCCTTACATCTCAGCACTTCCTTGCTACAACACAGTCCTCACGGCTGCTGCTGTGTGTGGAGTGTTCAGAAGAAATCCTAGGGCGAATGGTTTGTTGATA